GGTGGCTCGTTCTCATCGCCACACCCTGCCCCACACGGCTGAAGGGGCCGTGTCTCGCTCGACGGGCAGCGCAGCCCTGTCCACGCTAGCGCCCCCACTGACGCGCGAGGCACGCATCGTGACGAACGTGCCACACTAATGGGTGGCTTTCGTAGGGGACTCTGGGCACGGGGGTGTGGGGACTCCGCTTTTTCATCCCGTGTCCCTCTGCCCTGTCACTGCCTTCTCTGTCCTGTGTCCCTCTCGTACCCTACGTTCACCTTGTGTCACTTCTGACTGCTGCCCACCGGACCCTGTCAGAAAGCAAGCACTGGTCTCGTGGTTTGTCACAGGGTGCGAGCATAGGTGCCAGGGTCTTCTGACCCCGCCCACCACCGCCCACCACCTGGTGCACACGAGGTGAGCGAGTGCCCCGCGGTCTCTTGCAGTGGGCATCCCCACCATCCGGTGGTGCGGGGCCGAGGGAGACTACAACGTCATGGTGATGGAGCTCTTGGGACCAAGCCTGGAAGATCTCTTCAACTTCTGCTCGAGAAAATTCAGCCTCAAAACCGTCCTGCTGCTGGCCGACCAGATGGTAAGAGCTCATTCTCCGCCCTCGGTCTGGCGTCCAGCGACGTGCGGAGCCGGGCTTTGTCAGCGCGCCTGCTGCACGCAGGCGGAGATGGGCGTCCGTGCCTTCATGACGCAGCCCACGGATAGCGACCCAGAGGGTCACGCTGGGCGAGCCGCCTTCGGCACGGCACAGCGTACTCACAAGCAGAGCCCGACTCCCGCCAGACAGGTCTGCGGCTGGTGCAGACCTGTGTTGGCTGTCACGACAGGCCACAGCCTGTCCACCCCTGGGAGTGCCAGTGAGGGGGCAACACGGAAGCCCGTGGAGGGGCTGAGGGTGGCTAGTTCAGTCCCCTCCCTCTGTCGAGTGACCGGCTGAGGGGCACAGAGGACGCAGCTCCAGGCTCGCTGTCCAGGCCGCTGTCCAGGCTTAACGCGGCCACTGCTCTGCCTGCAGATTAGTCGGATCGAGTACATTCACTCCAAGAACTTCATCCACCGTGATGTGAAGCCAGACAACTTTCTCATGGGGCTGGGGAAGAAGGGCAACCTGGTCTACATCATCGACTTCGGCCTGGCCAAGAAGTACCGGGACGCCCGCACCCACCAGCACATCCCTTACCGCGAGAACAAGAACCTCACCGGCACCGCGCGGTACGCCTCCATCAACACGCATCTCGGAATCGGTGAGCCGTGGGTGCTGACCGAGGCTGCCTGGGGCATGTCCGTCTCCGCTCGGAAAGGCCAACCCCTTGGGGGCCTGGGCATGGGCGGCATGTTTCGGGTGGAGGCTGTCGTCAAATCTTCGTAGCAAAAGCGGGCTTCAGGGACTGTGGAAACGTTACTTTGAGGTGCAGAGGGGGCGGGTAAGTGATTGCGCTTTCTGGCAGCTGTGACATTGATGTCACTCATGGGGTGTTGAAGTTTCATAACAGCACGTCTGGGGCAACCTCTGGTGAAACAGACGACTCAAGTGTATATCTCTGTGATTTTTTTTTTTTTAACACTTACAGCGCCTGGTCGTCCTAGGTGGTCTCCCATCCAAGTACTAACCAGGCCCGACCCTGCTTAGCTTCCGGGATCAGACGGGATCGGGCACGTTCAGGGTGGCGTGGCCGTAGACTTCTGTGATTTTTGAAGTTCGTTTCCACGATAAGTGCTTGCTGCTGCAAGTATACGTGCACTATCCTTGATCCGTTTCCTTTCCCTTTCCAGAACAATCTCGAAGGGACGACCTGGAGTCTCTGGGCTATGTGCTCATGTACTTCAACCTGGGCTCTCTGCCCTGGCAGGGGCTGAAGGCCGCCACCAAGAGACAGAAGTACGAGCGGATCAGTGAGAAGAAGATGTCCACCCCCATCGAGGTGCTGTGCAAAGGCTACCCATGTGAGTGTCCTCAGGGCTCCCGCCGTGCAGGGTGGGCGTGTCCGCCAGTGCCTCCGGGGTGCTGGGAGCTGAGCTGGGCCAGCCTCCCGGAGTCTGGCTCTGAGGGTCCCCCGACTTCCCAGGCTCTTGTGCTCAGGAAGGCGAAAAGTGGCTGGTGGCCTGTGCTTCAGCCCTGTGAGGAGCCACGGCTCAGGGACTTTTCCCTCGCTCTGTGGGACTGCCCCTGGGGCAGGTGCCGCAGATGACACTACGCAGTGCTCTGGGAATCTGCGTCGTGACCAGCGTTTGACATTCTACGTCTGACCCCCAGTACCCGGGTGGCAGTGGATGGTGAACAGTGGCGCTCACAGACCCCGTGGCGGTCCCCAGTGTGTGACTCGCTGGTAAGCGCCGAGCTTCTTCTTTCACAGCTGAGTTTGCCACGTACCTGAATTTCTGCCGTTCGTTGCGTTTCGATGACAAGCCGGACTACTCGTACCTGAGGCAGCTGTTCAGGAACCTGTTCCACCGCCAGGGCTTCTCCTACGACTACGTGTTCGACTGGAACATGCTCAAGTTCGTAAGTACCGCCAGCCCCGGCTGCTGGGTGCACGCATGGGGACCAGTCCAGGAGGCCGCGTGTGTGACGAGCAGGCGGGACGGGCTTGCGTTTGGAGGCGTGTCGGCTGCGGTGTTCCGGGCACAGCTGGGGCCTGAGGGGTCCCCCTGAAGGCGAGGCTCTGGGAGGCTAGGAAAGCAAAGGCAGGCATGCAGGAGATGGGGTGGCCCCCTGGCTGGCGGCGGGGTGAGGGCCACAGAGGCCCCGGGGAGCGTGTCTGCATGCGCAGGTCCGCCAGACCCGAGCTCTCGGTCCTCTGTAGTTGAAGGACTGTTTGCCAGTGTTGTCAACCCCGAGAGTGCCGTGCTTGTGACCCGGGGCCGGGCGGCAGGGCGCCAGTGTGTCCGTGGGCAGGAGCTGAGGCCTCACCTGGCCCCCAGCCTCCGCGGCGGGCGCTGGGCGTCCAGTCTGACTGTGGCATGTGACGGGCCAGGCTGACGCTCTATGGCCTCTCTCACGCACTTTGCTCGTCGAGTGCTCGCGCTCATGTGGGGCAGAGGGCGGGGCTCGAGCGTGAACTTGTCCCGCTGGAACGGGCTACCCATCCCGAGCTGACCCTGTGGCTCATCAGCCTTTGGTGCCCCGCGGGTGCCCATGGTTCCAGATCTCCCACTTCCTCTTGCGCCACAGACCCGCCCTGCTTAGTTCTGAGCTGGAGACAGATTGGGAACCTTTCTAGAGCGACAGAGTCTGATCGAGGAGCAGAGTCTGCTCTTCAGAGGATGCCACACCGGAAGCCTCATCACCACCATCCCCCCATGAGGTGTAGGGCTGGGGGCGGGGCGGCTGCAGCCTCCCTGAGTGGGGGTCCAGCCAGTGAGCCAGCCTGACCGGACCCAGCCTGTGCCACCCAGGGAAGAGCCAGTGCTGGGGGGAGAGGGCCCTGGGGGTGGCACTGCAGATGGCCCGCGTCTGGACATCAGGGTGCCTCCGGCCAGAGCCACACAGGGCTGCTCGTTCCGGCACGCTCCCCTCACCAGGGCTCGGCACACCTTCTCTGTGACGGGCTGGAGCTGAGTCATTTGGCTTTGCAGTCTGTGGGGATGCTACCACCCAGCTCTGCAGCACAGCTGGACAGCCGCCATGGGCCGTGCGCACGCGTGCGGGCTCGGCTGTGCCGGTGAAATCCATTGGCAGGAGTAGCTGTGGCCAGATTTGGCCGCGGGCGGCAGTTTGCAGCCTCCTGCCTGACAGTGCTGGGGCTTTGCGTGTAGGCGTCAGTGTGTGGGTGTCGTAGTGGGACCAGCTAACACCTAGTGTCCCGACAGCTGCTTCTGACTGAGCGCAAGTGGCCGATGGTGCCGGGGCCCACCACGCAGCCCCCCAGGATAGATTTGGCTGCCGGCCTCCCCGTCGCGGGTGTGTACCCACATGACATCCTCCCCGGGTCCACCTCGGCCACCACGCTTGCTTCTCAGACTCTCTTGACTATCACCACATTGGGCTGATCTCTGACTCCAAGACGATACCCTGTCCCTGTGTGCATGATGGCAGAGAAGAGGGCCACCCCGCCTCATCCGCGATGGGAACACGGAGGAGGCCGGGACCCTGTGCGCCGTCCTGCAGGGAGAAGTGGCTTGGTGACAGACGGTTTCATGAGCACTGGTCCCAGATGCCCCTGGTGTTCTCAGGCTGCAGGGACAGCCCAGGCCTTGGGCCATTTCGGCCAGTTCAGTTCTGGTTCCTCCCTTCTCAGGGCGCCAGCCGGGCCGCTGACGATGCCGAGCGGGAACGCCGGGACCGCGAGGAGCGGTTGAGACACTCCCGAAATCCAGCCACCCGCGGCCTCCCTTCCACGGCCTCGGGCCGGCTGAGGGGGACACAGGAAGTGGCTCCTCCCACGCCCCTCACCCCTACCTCACACACTGGTGAGTCCTCCCTGGTTTCCACTAGTGGGCAGTGGGGGTTATGTGTGCGTGATGGTTGTTCCGGTCATTCATGCTGTGTGACCTTGTGGGGGAAGGGGGCAGCTCTGTGGGCGTCCCCCTTCTCGTCATCATTCCCAAGGGTGGACAGGCCGTGGAGCAGCCTGGGACAGTGCCTTCGGGAATGTCGTTTCACGGGCTCCACGAGCGTTTTGTCACTGCGGCTTCTCACGACACATTCACCCCTGTGAGCCTCAGTACCCGCCCCTGAGCAGAGTTCTGGGGCCCGCCCACAGGAGCACGTGCCTGGTGTTTCTGGGAGCTTCGTGAGCCCTGCCCTCGGGTGCTGGTCGGGCAGCGGGGTGCAGGCAGCACAGCGTCGGGACCACCAGCCTGTGCGCGCCCGGAAAGTCTCGGCCGCTCTGGGCCCGACGCCACGGGGCCCCCCCCCGCCCCGGTGCAGCACAGCTGCGCTCCCTCCTCACCGCCGCCGTCTCCTGCCCCGGCAGCTAACACGTCTCCTCGGCCCGTGTCCGGCGTGGAGAGAGAGCGGAAAGTGAGCATGCGGCTGCACCGCGGCGCCCCCGTCAACATCTCCTCGTCCGACCTCACGGGCCGGCAAGATACCTCCCGCATGTCCACCTCACAGGTACGCACGTCGTGCAGGCGCCCCGCGCCCCGCTCACCGAGGGTGGGACCCAGCTCAGGCCTCTCTCCCTGCGTCCGGGCTGGTCTGACGGGGCCAAGCAGAGTGGGCCGAGGGTTTTGAAGAGTTTCTTCCCTCCTTCCCTCTCTTTCTCTCCCCCTTTTTCGAGGGTTTAACTGGTGAGGTTCGTTGTCCCATGGCTGCTATCTGCTCCCTTGGTTGGAGCCTCGGAAGGGAGCTCCGTGGGGCCAGGGCTCACCGCCTTGCTGTGCTGGGCCGAGTACGGGCCTTTGTGCCTGCTGTCCAGGCCCGCCTGGCCTTGGGGGCCCAGCGTCCTTCCTGCAGACTCGGCACGCCGCGCCGGGGGCCTCGTCCCGCGTTCTCATGGACCAGGCAGAGCCTGTGTGGGGGGTGGGGGTGGGGCGGGGAGGCGGTGTGCATGGAAGCCTGCCAGCCCAGGGCCTGACAGTGCGCAGGGCAAGGGGACCGTCCCGATGTCTCTGTCCGCGCGTCTTTGGCGTGGCCTGGCGCCCACGTCCTCCCGCGTTCCCCTCCACTCCATCCTCTTCCCGCCCGGGCCCTGTCGCTGCTGACCAGCCTTTGCAGGCCGTCCTCGACGCTTAGGTCTTCGCCCTTGAATGGCTTTCTGGCGCCTTCGTGCCGGGTAGTCAGGGGTCAAGAGCTTGACGGCTCGGGCGTCCTCTCCTTCAGCCAACGTCCCGTGGGAGCTGGGGCAGGGCGCACGGGCTGTGTGCTGAGGCAGCCCCTGCTGTGGTCGCCGTGATCCTGTCGCATTGTGTGGGTGCCGCTTGCTGGGGGCCAGGGTGGGCCAGCGTCTGTCAGGGCACAGGGTCTGGGAGCCGCCTGACCCCGCTGGTCTCCGGCAGAGGAGCGAGGCGAGCCGGGCAGAGGGAACGCTCCTGGCCGCGCCGCCGCCGAGCACCTTGCCACTGGCGATGCTGCCGGAGGGGCTGGCTGGGCCCCTGACTTCTCCCGGACACCAAGGCGCAGTCAGGCTGAGCTGGGCTCGAGGGTTCTGGCTGGAGGCTGAGACTGGGCTGCTTGCGCCCCTGGCCACCCCTCCTCCGTCACCCCACGACCCAGGGGCTTCAGCGTTTCCTCTCACCAGCCCTGGAACCCATGAGTCAGCAGCTGGGAGCAGAGCCTGGGCACGCAGTTGGCTGGCCCTGTGGTCTGGAACCCCTCAGGTGGGATGGCCAGGCTGGTGTGTGGCAGGGCTCCACCTGGACTCGATGTCCGCACAGCAGGGTTTGGCCAGTGGGGTTTGGCCAGCGAAGGCCGGGGAAGGGGCTGACCTCGTTTCCTGTAAGGACAGGAAGCATCTGGTGGGTTTGGGGTCGTTGAGGGACACAAAAGACTCAGAAGGCCCTGTGGGCGCCAGGCACCTGCTTCACTGCCTTCCCCTGCCCAGCTGGGCCTGTGACTGGACCCTTAGGTCTTGCGGTCGCGCTTGCTCTCGTGTGGCGGGATAGCGCGTGGCCTAAGCGTAGGAAGGAGGCTGTTTTGCTTTTGGAGCATTTGCCCCAAAAGAGCAGCACCCTGGTTTTCTTCACTGTTCACCCTGGAGATGATCCCAGGGTCAACTTCCTGCGGCCCCTGGGGGTGTGTCCTAATGCGCCCTGTTCTACGCATGGCCGTCTCCTTTGGGTTTTCCTGGTCACCGTGGCACTGAAGGGCTCCTGCCAGGGGCATGACCTGCACCTAGGGGCAGCATGGGGCTCTTCCTGAGACCCCGCCCAGGGCCGCGCCCACCGTCTGCCCTGGTGGTTCACAAGTCACAGGGCGACTGTCCCTCCAGCACTACGATTCTGCGCCTTCTATTCATACTTGTTCCCCGAAGAAAGTGGGGTGAATGTGGTGGCAGTGGCGTGAGCGTTCAGTACGAGCCCGGGGTGGGGGGCATGCTGCACCCTGTGCACATGTGCCCGGTCCAGGGGGATGGCTCAGTCTTTGCAGAACGGCGCTCACAGCCGCTGCCAGCCTGTCTGCGGGTGGCCTGCCAGCCCTCTGCAACTGGGCAGGGCAAGCACTGAGTCCTGTGTCCTGGTCCTGACCCCATGGCCTCTGTGTGTTCTGACTGCGGGATGGTGGCCGCTCCTCCTCGCCCCCACGTCCTTCTCAGGGGCGGCTTGTGCTAGACAGCCCCCCAGGGGACCCTCAGCCCATCGTCCCCTGCCCAGAGTGTGGTCTGGCCTCTAGCCAGGACCACACGGAGCCTGAGGGCGCGTGGCAGATGGGCCGTTTGCACAGTGGTCTCTCCGTGGGAAGGAGCGGCTGGTCACAGTCCCGGGGCCAGTTCCTCCCTCAGCTGAAGTGTCGTCTGCGCTTCCTCCAGCGAGATCCTGTCGTCTTCCTCGTCTCGGTGAGGAGACGCGTCCAGTTTGTGTCATGGGGAGGGGTTGGCCTTGGTGACAGACTCTTCCTGCTGGAGTGGCCACAGTCACTCGTCACTCTTATTCGGGGCAACTTGCGGAAGGGAGGCTGGGGTCCCCTCTGAGGCACCCCGGCCAGCGGCCATGGCAGACCTGGTCGAGGCGAGGCAGCGCTTCCGGAAACGGGGCCTCCGTGCCGGCCCGGCCAGCGGGACCCTCACCAACAGCTGTCTTTTCCCACCTCAGAATAGCATTCCTTTCGAGCACCACGGCAAGTAGCTGCACGTCTCCCCGCTGGAAGGCAGCCCCGGTGAGTGTGCCCGTGGCCGGGCCGGCCAGACGGCAGGCGCCAGGCGGGCGGGAGCACGCAGGTGGGCTCGGGCTTGCATGCCAGGTGCTGCAGGTCGAGTGAGGGCCCCAGGTCTCTTCCTCCTGTGGGTCTCAGAGCCACTGCTGCTTGGTCTGGGGGGGGCGGCAGACTGCGGAGTCCGGGGACGGGCTGCCAGGACCCGCCCGCCGTGCGGCACAGGAGCCCGGGGCTCCGCACACCGCTGGCTCCCATGGCGCCCGGCCGCGGGCCAGTCGTGTGCGTCGTGTGTCTGTCGCGCTCAGCTTAGTGGCCGCGCTTGGTGGGGGCTCTTGCGTTCTCGCTGCGTGAGGCTCTGGTCTCTGCCGTCCTGGCTTTGTCACCTCTTCTCCTGCGTTCACTTCTGTCCTCGGTGTGTTTTCCTTCTCAAACTTGGTCCCTGCGCAGCATCTCGTTTCTGCTGCCGTCCGTGTTGACCCACCGGCCCCGGCCGCCTGCTCCCACACGGGCGTGTGTCTGGGCGACACTCGGTGGCTCCCTCCTGCCCAGGGCTCCGCGCCACTGTGGGGCCTGCTGCAGTTGAACGTGGCGGCGCTCTTGGAAACGTCTTGGTGGGAACTGCTTGTCACGTCTTTTCTCGGAGGGGAGTCCCAGCACCCCATGGGGCCTGGTCCTCGTTTTCAAAACACCAGGTTACTCTCCAGGAGCGGGGCTGGGAGCAAGTATTTCTTCCTGCTTGGACGCTCGTCCTGTCGCTTGCAAGCTCCTCGGCTCCGTGGCCTCCAGGCCTCCTGCCTGCACGCCTCTTCCTCTTCCTGTCTTCCCGCCACTCGCCCTGCCGAGCACATGTCCTGGCCGCAGAGGGAGCTCCTGGAGCGGCTGGGGGCGCGGGTGTCCGGTGCGGGGCTAGGTGGCATCTGTCCCCTTCCGCCCAGGGCGCCATCACTGGTGGTTTGTGCCCGAGCCTGACTGGCCGTGGCCCTCCGGCCGCATGCTGACCTTGTCCTGTGCTTTGGCTCCGACAGATTCCCGGTCGGGTGGCTTCCAGTGGTCTTCAGTCTGTCGTGCACCGGTGAGAACTCTCCTTTTTGCTGTGAAGGGCAGACAGTGAATGCATGGCTGATCTACTCTGTTACATGGCTTTACTAGTGACGCCCCCCGGTCTAGACCACCGGGAGCTCCAGGCCACCCGCCCAGCAACGCCCATGGGGAAACTAAAACTAAACCGGACAGACTCCAAGCGCTGCCGCCGCCAGGGGCTCCATGAGGCCCCCCACGTGAACTCGTTGTCGCGGGGCTGGGAAGAAGAGCAGAGTGAGGATGGCGCAGCCCCCGCCCGGCCGCGAGCCTCGCAGCTCTCCCTCCCGCGGTGGCGCCTGCTCCCGACGAGTCTGCTGTGACCACCCGTCTTCTACTTGGTTCAGACAGTTTTGTATCATTTTGCTAAAAATTATTGGCTTAAATCTGTGTAAAGAAATCTTATTGTTTCTTGTCTGTTTTTGCGGCCCTCACAAAGATGGTGACTTTAAAGAGCCCTGACGGACGCTGGCGTGGGATTTCTGTGTAGGACGGAGCGAGGCAGGGTGCGGGCACAGGGGACTTCGTGGCGTTTCCTGTGCGGTTCAGTCGTGTGCTCGCTGTGGAGAGGGGCTTTTCTCAGTGTACACGTGTGTGTAAGTAACATGTGCGTCTGCGTGTGCTGTGTGTTTCGTGACCTCGTTCCCCTGGTGTTGGCTGTCACCCCTCCCCCACCGTCAGCGAGATGCCTGCGCAGTGGCCAGAGCAGGGCACCGGCCGCGGGCCAGGACGCAACTGCTTGCAGCAGAGCCGAGCGCCCTCCGACCTTCCCGGACGCGGCCGAGTGGAAGCGGGTGCTGGAGACGCAGAAGCTGAGGCTTTGCCGGGCGTCGCTGGGCCCCTCCTCGGGGTCGTGTGAGGCCCTCGTGGAGGTGGTGACCCAATGCCTTTGAATTGGGGAAGTTTTCTAAACGCTGTACATACTTGCAGTGCAGGTCGGCTCTTAATGTGTGTTCCGAGCTGTGTGCTCAAAGCCAAGGACATGGTCGTCTGCCAGGTCTGCCCGGAAAGGCGGCGGGCCCCGGGATCCACTCTGAAGTGCCGAGAAGCAGGGACAGCACGACTCGCATTGAGATGGAGCGAACCCCACAGAGGTCACGGAGCGGGATGGGGCCGATGGCTCTCCAGAAAGACCCTTGGGTGGCTGGGCCACTGTCCCTGCTCATTTTGCAGCAGCAGAGGCGCCAGGTAGTGGTGGCAGCAGCCAGGAGACAGGAGCCCCCCCGTCTTGGGGAAACGAGGTGCAATATGTATACTTATAGGTACTTTCACGTTTCTCCTCGTCACCCGACTGCAGTGTTGTTTGGAGTCCGGGGTGCTCATAGGAAGCTAGGGGCCTGAAAGGTGTCTGGGTCTGTCCCTTCCTGCCCTCCAGTCCCCCAGCACGAGTGCTGGGCCTGGGAGGCCTGGACTGGGGTGCCTTGACGGCGCAGGACATGACTGTTGGCTGCTTCCGGAATCCCGAGCCAGCTACTTTAAGCATTTGGGGGTGCAGGGACTTGGCCAGGTAGGAGTGCAGAGGGAGCTTGGGTAGGTCAGGGCAAGTTGGGGGCTCCCTTTGGGGCCCCGCGCCTTCCTCCGACGGGCTTCCCCCTCGGGAGGCGTGACGCCTGCAGCCCCGAGTGCAGTGCTGGCACCCCCGCTGGAGCCAGGCCCTGCCCGACGTCGCCGGTTGTCTTGTGCAGTGGGTTCCGGTCTAGTGCCCGGTGCGTGGTCGTGGGCAGTGTCGATCCCCATCGCGACCTGCAGGGGCCGTCGTCGGAGTGTCTGTGTGACCTGTGATTGGTGGCCGGGCTCTGACCCGCGCTTGTGTAACCACTGTATTTGTGTGCCTACACCGTGTCAGTAATAAATTCATGACGGCGTCTACCTTCTTCCTGCCCGTGCCGCGTGGTCTTTATTTCACCGGTGCGGGCGTCCGCAGTGCGCGTGGATGGGCCGCGTGTGAGCTCGCTTTGGAAGGTGGGCGTGGGTGTCGGCCCTCTCCAGCCCTGGGGGGGGTGGGGAGCTGGTTGGGAGCCAATGGGAAGAGACTGGATGGGCCACTGTTTCCTTGTGCCAATCCACCTGGGGATTTCCAAAGATCCCCTGACCCCAGTGACCCTCTGGGCAGCACCAGACCGGTGTCCTCCCGCCTCCTGCCTCAGGGTTTCCAACTAGTGACCGGTGCGGGAGCTGGCACCGTGCCCATCCCGGCCGCTCACGGTGAGGTGCGCATCGTCCCGCGGGCCCGCTTCATGCTCTGTGGCCCTTGCAACCAGCAGACGGATCACGTCTGGGAAGGCGTCCGTCCGTCCGTCCGTCACACTCACGGCCTCGGCTTCCCTCTCCCACTTGAGTTATCAAAGCCCAGGAGGCCCCCCCCAGAAGAACCTTTGATGGCTCTGAGTGAGAAGGCCGAAGGCCCTGGGGGGCAGCCCTGTCCCTCCCCGTCATCCTGCCCCAGCCTGCGTGCCGCACCACGCAATGCGTGTGCCGGGGCTGGAGGTGAGTTCCCGCACAGGCAGGGCAGGTGTGACCCCACCCCTCCTGCTCTCTGCCAGTCTGGCTGGGCCCAGGGATCCCTCAGGTTCTGGGCAGAGGCTGGGCTCTTCCTTGGCCCCGTCCCTTGTGTCTATACCCTGTCAGGTGTCCCCCCAGCCTGCTGATACCTGCATCAGTGGAAATGTCAGTGGAACCTGCCCTGGGCTGCCTTGCACTGCTTCCTGTCAGGAGAGGCCCTCCTGCTGAGCTCCTGCCCCTACCCCTCACCCCGCCCCATCAGTGCTGGGAGGGCCTCCCTCGCCCCTAGGCCTGGGTCGGGCCGGGGGCTCGGCCTCCACTCCCAGCGTCCACTCCCCCCATGGGCCTCACCCTAGTGGGGGCCACACGTGTCCAGGGTGTTTTCCACACAGGCCCTCCCAAATGTGTGTGTGGCAGGTGCCCTGGGTCTGGCCAGCGTGGGGACAGGTGCCTGCTTGTGTAATCCTGCATTTCTGGGGTGATGTGTACATTTTTTCCACAGAGGGCAGGGTCAGCATGGGTATCCACACCACTGGGGGGTCTTCACAGGGTGTGGGGTATGAGCCTCCTTTGCGGGAGACATCTGGAGGGAGGGGCCAGGCCCATCTGTGCTCCTATCCCCCTGAGCACTGGCTGCCTCCTCATCGGCTCTTAGGGCCCTTGGGGGCCACTGCTTCCTGAGAACAGGGAGTTTCCTGTTTTCGTGTCTTGGGCACACCCGGAAACATCTGGAACCAGAAAGCTAGGCAGACGAGTCTATGCTGACCCTCTGCCTGGCCCCAGGCGTCAGCCTCTAGTCCAGCCTCGTCACCAGCCAGCAATGTTGCTTCCGTGATGGGCACGTAGCATTTGGCCCACGTCACCGAGGCCCGGGTTGGGGGGAACTAGCTCTTGCCCACTTCATACTGCGTGGACCACAGTCCCAGGCCAGCTGTGGGTCATGCCCCCAGGGGAGCAGTGCAGACATGTCAACCATTGTAGGATTGTTTAATGGTGTCCCCAAAATGTGACTTCTGAGGGTTACTGGCCCTCACGTGGAGGCCAGGCCCTTTGGGTGCTGATGTAAAAACAGCAGGGGGTACCCACTTTTCTGCTGCTTCTGGCCAGCAGGGGGGAAGGCAGCTCAGGATGAGAGTGAGGGGAGACGCCCCTGGGGTACTCGGCCAATTAGCAAGCCAGGGGTGACTCGTGTGACGCAGCAGTCAGGCAAGGTGCACACCAGGAGTGAAGGGAGCGGGTGTGAATGCCCCCAGGGTAGCTGGGGGGCTACAGGCTGCCTCAGGTGGCTACAAACAGCCAGGCCTGGGTCTACAGGTGGGGCCAGCCCTCTGAGATGTGACAGATGGGGGGCTGGCGTCTCAGCTTTGCCCAGCAGCCCTGCATGGCCCACCTTACGTGCCCCAGCAGATGCTGGCTGTGCCTCGACCCCTGCGACCACCTGTGCTGCCCGTAGTCCACGCCCCCGGCAGAGAGGACAGAAAACCAGAAAGGGTGGCAGGCAGAGTCCCAGAGCCACGGGACTGGGAGGGGCTGCGAGCAGGAGCTGGCGTCTGCACAGGGCTTGGGGACGGGGAGCGGGGAGAGGGAGAGCAGTGGCCCCTGGGGCCCTGGCATGAGCCCTCGCTTGCTTTTCGTTGCAGAGGAGCAGGGATGTGGCGTCTCTCCGGCTGCACTCCGCCCGCCAGGGCGCCCGCTGCCGTCCCCAGCGCCCCCGACGCACCACCTACTGACGCGGCCCCAGCGGCCTCCAATCAGGCTCCCAGCCACACGGGCCACCGCTGGCCACAAGGGCAGGTGGGTGCGAGGTTCCTGGGGAGAGCCAGCAGGGATAGATGAGGAGGATGGGGAACAGACCCCCGCCCCGCGCGCTGGCTGTGTAGAGCCTCTCCGCCAACCGGGGCGTGAATAAACGGAAGGCAGGAAGAGCACTGTCTCTAAACACACGCCTGGGAGTGAAAAACACGCCCATCTCAGCTCAAGTGCCCGTGGCTCGGAAGGGCTCCCAGGCGCAGTGGCGTTTGCCCTGCCCCCGCCAGGGCCCCGTGCGGGTGCTCTGAGCTGCCAGGGCATCCCGCACAGCCAGGCCCAGGACTAGCAGCACTTAGGGGGCTGACGCACTAGCAAGGACCAGACCCACTCCAACGTTTGACACAGTAGATTGGGGATGAAGGGTAGACAGACCACGCCCCCCCGTTAGAGAACTCGGCCCCTTCCACATGCAGGTTTACCCCGGCCAAGGCGGGGGACCTCAGTCCCCCAGACACTCAGGGCAGGCTGGGGTGCTGGGTGGGGGCCGGCGGGGCGGGCTTGTCTCAGCAGTGTCCCCAACCCTGCTGCTGATTAAAGTCGTGTTGTCTCTGAAGCATGAAGCGTGGGCGTCTAGGTCCTGGAGCCCAGCGGTGGGCTCCGGGCTGCTCCGGGGTCGGCAGGCTGGGTGCTTGATGCAGACGGCTTGTAACCTCGCGGCTTGGCTTCACCACAGATCCGCTTTGGAGTGACACGGTTCCCACCCGCCACCTCCCCCGAAAAACACTGATCAGGTGATGACGTGCTGCCGGGCTGAGCCGGTGGCCCGGCCCGAGCGAGTCCTGTTTGTGAAATAAATACAAGCCTCGACCGCCTGTCCGGTTCCCTGCACCACCGTCGGCTCCGGCTCAGACGCTGGTTTCGGGGGTGTGCGCCACCTCCCCGTTTTTCTCAGGCTCCGCCTTCAGGAAGTGCTCCACCTCCCGCGAGTCCACCCCGCCATCCGCGGGGGGCTTGTGCTCTCCCTCCACGGCTGCGGCGGGCCTCCTCCTGATGCAGAAGAAGTTGCCCAGCACCAGCACCAGGGAGGCGGCCAGCACCTCGGTCCCAGCCAGGATGAACACGTACTGGTACACGTGCGTTGCATCCAGGAGCTTGCCTGCAAGGGGACAGTGTCAGCCCGGGCCAGCGGCTCCCGCTGACTCTCCGTGTCTGAGGGGCCAGATTTGGGTGTGCGCCTGCCTTTGGCCCAGGCTGCCGGGCCCTCCTACACTGGACTAAGGGGTCCCCATTTACTCCCGACACCTGCTGGCCCCCCTGTGTGCTGGACAACACGGTGGCCTGCCTGGACCGGGCAGGGGAGGGGGTCCCCCCCGTGAAGAGCCCTCCCACCGCGAGTCCCCGTTCCTGGGGACGGGGTGGGCCGTAGCCCTCACCTCCGGACGGGGGCCCGATGAGCACGGCGATGGCCTCCAGGAGCAGCACTAGGCCAATGGCACTGGAGAACTTCTGGGTGCCCACGATGGCCATGAGCACCTCGAACTGCAGCGCCCCCACCATGCCGTAGGAGATGCCGAAGAAGATGCAGAAGACCACCAGGCCACCGTAGTCGCTGGCCGTGGAGCCCGTGAGGTCGGTGACGCCGTTGAAGAACATGGCGAAGCTGAAGAGGTAGACGGAGTACGGCCGCACTTTGGGGAGCCCCGTGACGAAGCCCGCGGCCGGCCGGGCGAAGATGTCGACGAGGCCCAGCACGGTGAGCAGGAAGGCCGCCCGCGTGTCTGGCACGCCCAGGTCCTTGGCGTAGCTCACCACGAACACGGGTGGCACGAAGAGCCCCAGCACCATGACGGAGGCGGCTGCCGCGTAGACGACGAAGCCGCGATCCCTGAAGACGCTCAGGTCCAGCAGCCGCCTGGACGGCCGCTGGGGCCCAGAC